TCTACACAAACATTCTATTTTATATAACTTTTTGAGAGTTTACGCCAATATACAAACAAACATTCGAATTTGTATGGTCGATTGTTTTATAAAGTTCCATTTAAAATAATTGGCAGACGAACAATCGCCAGTGTAATCGAAATTAAAAGCAGAACCCTTTCCTAATTTCGATTAAATATAGAAGGTAAACCTGTAATGCGAAAGGTATGCGAGATGTTTATCAATAGGAAAATGAACAAGGTGCCAATCACTATCTTAGCAAGTAACAATAACTAGTTTTGTCGGTCATTCTTAAATTGTTACATATTTATATTTTGAACCATCATAATGTTCTGACAACAGACACTGGAATTTTTCACACCCTTTTTATTTTATTATGTACTCTACAGCGGTTAAACTAATTGTTTCAGGTGTCAAATACTTGGAAAGATTAATTTAACAACTGTAAAAATAATAGAAAATCTAATAAAATGACTAAAGTTTTTTATTATCTTTAATTCGATCATAAATGTTCCTTTAAAGTGACCATCCCATTGTGTTTTACTTTTATTCCATTATTAATTTTATAAATTTATGAACGTACATGGAGAGATCAAATATATAAACCAAAAAAAACATATATGTTTCAAATTGATGGACATGTCTATGTTTTTTACCTTATGTTTAAGGATGTCTTATAATTCTGTCTACACTAGTTTGTCATTACAGTATATGACAAAGGTACAATTACTATATTTTGTACTATTATATGACAGTCAACGTGTTTAAGGGTAGATTCTCTTACTGGTGGGTCTAAATTACTTTTGGTTGCACCACAAAAAGCATCATCTCCATAGTCCTCGGAAATGAATAGAATCTAAAATACCATCGATGAATGACAATTAAATAAGGTTTGAGTTGAACGAATGAAAATTGTAATGCAAATTTTAATAAATTAAATATTTTATATAGCTTTTATTAATTATTTTAACTTTTTATGTCTATTTTCAAGTGTAGTCATGAAAACACTACAAACTGTAATCATTATATGAAAAGAAAGGAATTTAAATTCGAGCGTTTAACAGGAAGAGAAATTTGGATTTTAATTTTAGGGGTAAGTATAATTAACACTTATACTTATTTACTCTGTTAATTAATGTAAAATAGAAATTTAAAAGTGAAAGAATATTTTTAAGTTATAAAATTTTGCTAATGTCATGAAAAATCATGAAACACTCAAGAAGTGGTATTAAGTTTGTTGTATAATAATTAATTCTTAAGAAAATGGAGAGTTTAAAGATTTGATTTGGGAAAGTTGGAATGACTGAGTGGACTCTGTCTCTGCATAGCGGCGGTGACCAGACCCTAAACACTGGGAGTTCTGTTTGTGGTTTTACGCCTCGATTGGACAGGCTAGCAGCTTGGAGTTTTATGGGTTTTCTCCTTGCAGACGACACGTAAATAAGGTCCAGCTTCCCATAAATGTCTTCCCGAAGGCATCTTATTTCGCTTTCATGTATCTTCCAGACATCTTCTATAAGGCCAATTCTTCTGTTGCCTTGTGGTCTGTCTCCTGTCTCTCTTCTCTTTGGAGTAAAAACGAATAGCAATACATTCCTCTATGATGGAAAAAAAAGTTGGAAGTATGTTTATTTCTTCTACAATAATAAAATATAGCCGGTTTTCTACTAAATAATAAAAGTATTATTTTAATGAATTAATTATGTTTTCATTGTGTAATATTTTACACAATGAAAACATAATAAAGAAAACACAGAAAAGCATAAATAAAAATTTGATTTAACTTTTATGAAAAAATGAAAACATCTACTAAATAGTAAAAAAATAAACCACTATTGAGTTGCTCAACTCTACAGGCAACATTTAAAATTTTGGTAGCGCCATCTATTATCATATTGAAAACTTTTTATATTTTTAAATATTATAAAATTGCAAAAAGCTTAATTTTGAGAGTGTAGATGACTTTTATCATAAAAAAAATTGTGAATGTTAATAACCAGTAAAATCATCGTTATATCAGACCGTACTCAAGATAAATACAACCCCCTTTAGATGCTCAGCACACGAACTTCATTCACCAAAATCTAACAGTATAAATTACCCTAATAAACAAACTTTCCTGCATAATTTCAGAAATATATGACAAATAAGACAGGAGTTATTAAGCTTTAAACAGAGTGAACAAAATTATTCCCCCCACATACACACATATCCATACATACAAAAATTATCCTGGAATTTTTTTGCATTTTTTGAAGTTTGAAAGTGTTTTAAGCCAAAGAATGTAAAAGTTTTGGGAGGGTCATTTTTGAGAGATCGCCATACTTTTCCTCCTTTGATAATTTTTTAAAATTTATCCCCACTGGAAGTTTTAATATTCTGAGTGTTCATGTTCGAATAGAATACAGTAGTGCCTTGTACTTTGAATTGAATTCGTTCCAGAAGGCCATTCGAACTGCGAATTTGTTCGAAATTCGAATCAAATTTTCTTATTACAAATAACGGAAATTGAATTAATCCCTTCTGAGATCCTAGACAAAACTCATTTCGATAAGGATATTCCATAGCAAAAAGTACGTAACTTAAGGTAAAATAATCCAATTAAATTTTGTAAATATAAATTAACACACGAAAACAGTAAATGAAATACGTAATTAGTGAATGATAAAATAAAAATTGCATTTATTGTTGGTGCTTCGTCCACTTTTGCGTCTTAAAAATGGCAGCCAGACCCCCGCACGTGTACGGTGTTCTTTTTCACCTCGATCGTCTACACTACAATTTCCCTTTTAGGCTTCCTTGCTTCCACAATCTTCCTGGATGCCGTGGTTAACAGGAAAGGTAGTATATAAAACAGAGAAAATGCACAAGCATAATGCAAAAGATGCTTTCATAATTGTGAGACTAATCGGGGGTAGGATGTTTACGAGGATGTTCCTCTCCTACCACTTACTCGACTCAAGACCTTGAGGTCCGGTCTCGCTTGTCTAAAGGATGGGGAAAAAGGGTTAGGAGAAAGGATCGTTAGATTCTTTCACCTGTCAGGATCTGACACCAATCTATCAATTTATCGCGGATAGATACGCGGATGGATGGGGAATTATCACGAGCGATNATTATTTCAGTTTCCCGAGCATCAGCCCCTGTCTGCTCGATTATCGTTTCAGTTACTAGGCTTTGCAACCGCACTGCGTATGTTTGAACATCCTCGTCGTGTTTTTGTATGCATGCGTGGAAATTTTGGAGTCTGAGAGAATAGGGTTCTCTTTCAAATCGCCGCGTCATTTGTTTTTTGAACTCATCGTACGTTTCGATAGCTCGCATCTGCAAGTCCTTCCATGCGTAGTCCCTCGCGATGCCCGTTATTTTTAATTTGGCGATTCCTAGACATTGAGCCTTTGTCCATCCGGTTAGCTTCGCAATTTCGTCTAGCGAGTCGAAAAAGTCTCTAATGCGCAATCCCGATGCGTCACCCGAAAATGTGGGGATTAGGGGAATCATCCCGGATATGCCTTGGAGTGCGCTTCCTCCTGGATTACCTGCTCCACTTCCCGTGGCTCCTCCTGGATTTCCGACATTCGCCTCCATCACCGATTCTGGAGATCGTTAAGATCGTTGGGGAAATATATAAAGAGTATTTAGTTTCGAAATCGAATCAATTCCGTATCCCACTTCTGACCAACCAGTGTGAGACTAATCGGGGGTAGGATGTTTACGAGGATGTCCCTCTCCTACCACTTACTCGACTCAAGACCTTGAGGTCCGGTCTCGCTTGTCTAAAGGATGGGAAAAAAGGGTTAGGAGAAAGGATCGTTAGATTCTTTCACCTGTCAGGATCTGACACCAATCTATCAATTTATCGCGGATAGATACGCGGATGGATGGGGAATTATCACGAGCGATCTCGTCGAGGACTTCGGGTTCAGTATGGAGTGGAAAATGTCGGAAGAAACGCACACCAATCCAAGTTCGTTAACAAAATACCCGTTTATTCCGTACATTTATACATAGTTAATAATTGGAATACAAATCCCTCTCGGGTTCAATCCGTATAGTTCATAAAGTAACGGCAAAGTATAAAATAGTCGCGACCCTACCCGCGAGGTTCGAATATTCGAGAGAGAGCTTACACATCATCGCGTGTAGGATAAATACCTCTGATTAGGTTGTTATAACGTTGATCCGAGGTTCGTCCTTCCAAGTTCAAAGTTCAAATCAGTCCAAAGTTCGAAGTCGAAGTTCAAAGTCTATTAAAGACGGTGGAGACGAGATGCAGGTAAATCCACGGGCACACACTCACAGTATAGAGAAAAGAACTTAATTCCCCCCTTGTGTCGTCATCGCACTTGCCTTTTATATGGGGGCTCTTTTTTCGAGATTTCCCCATGTACGTCACAGGTGATGATCTTCTTTGACCAATGATGGGTGAAGTGACTAAATATGACACAACAGTGAACTCATCTTCTACAGGGAAGTATTGTGGTAGGAAAGGAGTTTTTATGAGCGATTTTTATGAGAAAATTTGTCGGTTGTTTTTTCCTTTTTGAGTTAACCCTAACTTTTAATCTAATGAATAAAAATATTCGAATCTTAAATCCGGGCCCTCACATCACCGCGGACTTTCTAAAATCGAGCTTGTTCTCGACGAGCAAGCTGGATTTTTTCTTCAAAGATGAGTTAACGAAGTTGTTCCGGCTCTCTCTCGTCTTTTTTCGTATCGCGTCACAGTATTATTTCCGTTGCGGAAGTTATTGACAAGTCGCGATTATTATTATTATATGATTATCACGTCGCGATGAAAGTTGTAAGTTTTACAGTTTATTGCGATCACGGCTCACTCTCGGGTTTCCTTTTTGTTTTTCTTTTAGGTACCGTCGCGTGAGTGCGAAAATGTTTGTAGAAAATTATAACTCGGGTTGAATGATTAAAACATTGTTTATTAATACTAAAATATTCAGATATATAATGGGTATATAAAATTCTTGATTAAACATGATTATGTAAAGTTGGATTACATTGGATAACATTTGAAAAGAATAACATTTTTCTCGATTATATAAATGAGAGTATAAAATCAGAATGGTAATCATTAAGATGAAAAAGGTTGATTAGGTGGTGGATTGTTTCGTTCACAGGAGAAAGGATTGTTAGTGGAAGTGGTAGGTGATTGTCGAGATGACCGTCTAGAGTTGTCAGACGGTGGTCGTGCGGCTGATGATGATCTTGATGCAGAGGTTGGGGTTTCCCTTGATTGAGTTCGACTTGAGCGAGAGTTAGGATTCCATTGTTCGTTGTATACTTGGGTGAGTCGGATCTCCTCTCGGAAATGAGGTGCTTCCGAAGGAGGACAGGTGTATTCCAAAGGCAATATTAGTGTAACAGGCATATTGTTATGCCGTCGTTGTGTTTGGGCAAATGCTATGGTAGCTCGTACAGAAGAAGCATTAACTTCTAGTTGTGTGGTTGGATTAGTGCGAGAGGAAGAGGATTCGGTATCCCACCAGTCGTTATCGGAGTCAGCCATCTGTAGGAATTAATTATTTAGATTAGAAACGGAGACTGCAAATTTAAAATTGTTTCCTTGACAAAAGGATCGAATTAAGGTTTCGGGTATTTCCAGGGAAGAAGTTGAGGTTGATCTAGGTTCTTGGTCAGATACAAGTGTGGAGGTCCACTTTAAGGAAATGTCCCCTTTACGGAATTTAATGTTGTATTCCAGTTTGAAGGGATTAATTCGAGTGAAGTTGTGGAATTTTATAATGTAATTCGGTCTGGTAGTATGTTGCTTTCGAACAGTTATTAGCAGTTGTTGATCGTAGCATTCCATTATAGCCGCCCAAGTTACGGGAGCGGAGATTCGAGAATCAATCCCGAGGAAAAGGAAGCTGGTTTTATTTATGAGGGGAACTTGAGGGTGAGCTTGAATCAAATGGGATTTGAACTCAGAATTTCTTCCATTCCAGTTGCAATGGTCGTCAAAAAGAGGACAAGTAATAGGTCTGAAGGGACAACGTTGTTCATGTTCATGTCGTGTGTCCGTTCGCAGGGTTTTTGGACATCCCAACGATTGGTTGGAACAAGGTGTAGTCAAGGTCGAGGCAAGTTGCTCGAGGATGAAACAACGAATATATCCGAGGGGTTCACGGCATGAGTGACAAACCTCAATTTGTTCTCGGCATCTTGAACAAACAATGTGCCCGTTGGTGCACTGATACACCGGAGGCTGGACTAGAGTGAAGCAGATGGGACACGTTGAAAGGTTCACCATTGAAGGGTCGGAGGGCGTAGCAGTGGCCATGATAAAAGTTCGAATGGGTAAGCCTGTAAGAAGAGAGTTTAGTTCAAATGGGTTGGAAGCAACACAACAAAAATTTCAGAAATAAGATGAGGTTAGGATAGTCAGTTGATATGTTGATTTCCTTAGTTCGATAGTCCTTACATAATTGGGAATCGACTTATCGATGGGGTAGGTGTGGTTGATTGTTGGTGTTGTTGAGGCTCGGGAGGAATCTCGGTCAGATTTATAGTTGGATGTCGTTGGAAACTAGGTGATTGATACATTCTTCGCCAAAATCGGTAGATAACTACAGTAAACCCTATGATTCCTATAACGGAGATAATCACAATGATAATCATTTTGGTTGGAGATTGGGTACTTGGTGGATGATTTACATTAAGGTGGGTTGGAAGGAGTTGTTCCAAATCGAGTTCCATTCGAGTTAAGGAACTGTCGGCTTGTAAAATATCTTTGTCGGATTGAAGATTAGTTGAATCGGAAACGAATTTCCCCATTAATTGATTTTGGATTATTTGTAGTTCGGTTTCGTTGACAATATTCCTTATAGGAGGTATAACAAAATGATGTATATTTTTAATTTGAATAGTAGTTTTTCTTTGGAAGTGAGATGTCAATATGATTCCTGGAAGATATCCTGTACAAGTTTCTGGAAGGACTAAGATACCAGTATTGTTTATTTTACTAATAGTGATTGGAGGTTCCCTAATGTTGTTAGAGGAACACTTGGTAGTTAAAGTCATTGGGGTTGGTACAGAGTAAGCCCATGTTCCCTGGGTGTCAATTCGTCGAAAAATGGGGGAATAAGACTTGACAAGTAGTCGTGGGCATAAGCTATTAATAGATTTCTCGTTGCCTAAATACAAGGAGTATTCACAACTTTGTTTAGACGATTGCCATATAGGGATGGTCGGTGAGCATACTGTGATGGGTGTTGTTTGACATTTAGTTAAGTCGTGATGTTGTAACAACATATATGATTGTCGGTTCCTTGACAAAGCAATTATAGAATATGAATTATTGTAATAGACAAATGCTCCTATAGAGGGAAAATATACAGGTAATCGTATGATCTCATAGATATCAAAATATCCAGACGGTGTAACGAGAGGAATCTTCGCGAAAACTCGAAGTAGTTGGGGTACTGCGACTGCAGTAATAGAAGTCCACTGATAATATTTGAACATTGTTTCTAGTCGTGGAGTTTCTAAGAATGCATATCCCTCAGGTAAATGTGATTGTATTTCCTTTAAGGTTTTTAACAACATTTCCTTAGGAAGGAAGTAAGTGCTAAGTCGGCCTTGTTCTAGGGTCTCGATGGCGTTTCGAATCTCTATTATTTGTGTTCGAAATTCTCGGACGGAGAATTCTGTAGATCGAGTTGCTGATTCAAATGCCATAAGATATTGATTTTGGACTAGAGTCTCCTCTATGAGTGTTTGTTTTGCTATCAAGGATTGGATTTGTTGTCGATTGGTTTTTGCGATCCGTAAGGTATCATTGAGTAGAGTTGCCTGTGATTGAAGAAGATGTATGTACTCTTCGTTAGTTTTTGATAGTTGTGCTATATTTTCGTTAAGTATTTCGATATCCTCAGTTGTGGCAGCTCCAAAGAGGTATTTTAAAATCTTTCCTCCGGCGTCGATTAATCCGCGCTTTTCTCGAGTTATATTAAGTATAACTAAGGACTTTAATTCGTTATAGTCAGCTTCGTATTCCAGTAGTGTGGCTCTTAAAAGATTAATTTCGTTGGCAGACAAAGTCCAACGGGATGTAGGGAGGTTGACAGAATCATCCGTTCGCACTTGACGTTGTACCAAAGTGTTTAAAAGTTGTAGATGGTTTTTCAAAAGGTGTAACTGTTGGTCAAAATCTTGGAAAGATATATCCAAAACGAGGGTCCAATAGTTTGTGGTCATGAAAAAATTTCCCTGATGTACAAAAATGACACCTTTGAGCACGTTCAGAGTGGCCTTGGACTCCATTGGTGTTGATTGAAGGATGTAGAGTGCTGATACAAGTAAAGAAACTCGTAACAGGGTTCGGATATGCATAATGGCTGAAGGTTCGTCGAGGAGGAAATCCTGGGAAAAGGGTAAAAGTCATTAGACGTTGAATATAACAGAAGGCATTTAAATTATCATGTTATGAAAATGGATGTACTCTAAAAGGTCTTAAAATTTCCTTTTTAAACTTTGGTTTTTGAATAGGAGCAAGTGATTGAGGTTGTAATTATTGGGTTCCCCGTCTTGTTATTTTTGGAGGTTGACTATGATTTCTTTCTTTTGGTGGGCTGGCTTTTCGTTTAGGAATTCGACTTCGTCGTGGAGGTGGAAGGATCCAAGGTCGATCTTCCACTGGGCCTTGGCTTCTTAAAGCATATGAGTGGGAAGAAGTTGGTTGCTCTTCTTCGATAGTAGGCTCTATTCTAGTTTCCTTTTCTCCTTCTGAATCCGATTCGGATTCAGATTCAGATATGGGCTCTTATTGTTGTCGTGACATTTCTGAGAAAATGAATTCGTCCCAGGGATCTGTATTGGAAGGTGATTCTTCCGTAAAGGAAGGTTGGTGAACGGAGGTAGAAAGCAAAGGTTGATTTATAAGTTCTTTTTGTTCAAATTCTTTTCGGGCTGTGACATGTTTAAGACGATTAGCGTGAACTTGGATTCTTTTCTTGGTAGTTAGGTTTTCAATGATAAACGTAACGGGACTTAACTCCGTCACAATTCGAAATGGACCTGACCATCTTGGTGCCAGTTTTCTTTTTAGTCCTACAGGTACTGTTACTTCATTGAGAAACACTCGATCGCCCACATGATACACAGGTATCTTATGGGTTTGACGATGTCGTATTTGTCTTTCCCGAGCAGCTTGTTCGGCATGTTTTTGTGCCACTTGATGGGCTTCAGACATTCGGCATTTAAGTTCGGATGCATAATTATCTTCGATATCATATTTTGTTCGAGTAGGACTGGTTATCAGATCGAAGGGATAAGTTGGATCTCTTCCATACAATAGGAAGAATGGACTATCATTCGTCGAAGCATGTATTGTAGTGTTATAAGCGAAAAGGGCATATGGGATCCATTCATCCCAATTCCGTTGGTCCTTCGCAACATAATGTGCGATGATATCGATTAAGGTCTTGTTAAATCTTTCCACTATTCCGTTGCATGCAGGATGATAAGCTGTGGTGAGTAATCGCTTTATTTGCAGTAATTCGCACACCTCTTTAAACATTTTAGATATTAAATTGGGTGCTCGATCAGTGAGTAGTTGAACAGGGGTTGAATGTCGTAAGACGATATGTGTGACAAAAGCCTTGGCAATAGTTTTGCTTTGGGTATCCGGTAAAGGTATAGCCTCAGCATAACGGCTAAAGTGATCTATGAAAACGAGTATATATTTATTGCCATTCAAAGTGATGGGTAAAGGGCCCACTATATCCATAGCAGTTCGTTCGAATAGTCGTGTTATGGGAGGAAATAATTGTAGTTCTGCCTCCTGTCGTTTGTCCTTCCTCTTCTGTATAGCGCATTGCTGACAGCTTTGACAATAATTTTTTATGTCCTGTTTCATAGTTGGCCAATAAAATAATGATTGAAGTTTTTGTTGCATTTTCTGAGATCCCAGATGACCTCCTATAGGGGTGTCATGATGGATACGTAGAATATAAGGAATTAATATAGATGGGACAACCAATTGGTCCAGAAATTTTCCCTGTGGGGTAGCTAGTTCGTGATATAACACTCCTTCTTCATCCAAGAAATAGTGTTGAACCTTATCTGAGTTATCTTCGTTCTCTAGGAGTTGGATAATGGTATTCCACTTCTCTTCTCGTCTCTGGAATTCTCCAATTTCAGATTTTGAGTAAATTGGATCGACGTTGTCTATAGTAGTAATTTGTCGGATGGGAATTCGACTTAATGCATCGGCGTTTTTATGACAGCTTCCAGCTTTATGTCTAATATCGAAATTAAATTCTTGTAGGAAAATAACCCATCGAGCGATGCGAGAATTAGTCGTAGAGTCCTTGTTACTAATCAACCATCGTAATGGACGGTGATCTGTTATTATAGTAAACTTTTTCCCATAGAGGTATGGTTTAAAGTACTTTGTGGCCCAAACTACAGCTAAACATTCCTTTTCCGTTGTGCTATAATTTCTTTCGGGTTTCCTCAACATTCTGCTAGCATAGGCTATAGGGTTTTCTCCATTCTCGTCCTCTTGTGATAGAACCGCTCCTATTGCTTCATTTGAGGCATCTGTTGAGAGTATAAATGGCTTTGAGAAGTCTGGAGACTTCAAAAGTGGAAATGAGGTGATGATTTCCTTTAGTCGTTCAAAACTACGTTCCTGTTCCTCTCCCCATTGAAATTTGTTATCCTTTTTCAGAAGCTCAGTTAAAGGTTTTGCTATTTTAGCATAAGAGTCGATATGTCGTCTATAATATCCTGTGAGTCCTAAGAATGATTTTATATCATGTTCGTTAGTTGGTCTGGGAAAGTTCAGAACGCATTCTATTTTATCGGGATCGGGTCTTATTCCTTCCTCTGAGACATCATGTCCCAAGAATTTTATTTCTCTTTGAAGGAAGTGACACTTCTTAGGTTTGAGTTTCAATCCTGCAGCAGCGAGTCTTTGGAAGATCTGTTCTAAACGAACTAAGTGAGTTTGGAAGTCTGGACTGAAAGTCAATATGTCGTCCATATAGACTAGACAAGTTTTCCCTTTTAAGCCATGTAATATGAAGTCTGCGGCCCTTTGCCAAGACACTGGAGCCCCGCAAAGCCCCATTGCCATGCGGTTCCACTGGTAATGACCATCAGGGGTTGAGAAAGCCGACTTCTCCTTGTCGCGCAACCCTAGTTGCCAAAATCCTGATATAGTGTCCATTGTCGAGAAGTATTTTGCTTGACCTATCAAACTAAGTGCCTCCTGCACGAGGGGTAAAGGATAAGGATCCACCCATCTATTTAATTTACGATAGTCCACAACGAGACGCCATGTTTGATCACGTTTCCTAACTAATAAAGCAGGCGCTGACCATGGGGACCTCGAGTGTTCTATTATACCTTGTTCTAAAAGTCCGTCGATAATCTGATTCATCTGTTCCCGTTGTGCATAGGGTATTCGGTAGGGTGGTTAATATATAGGACCAGCATCTCCGGTATTTATTTCATGTTCTACTACCGGACAATATCCCAAATCGTAATCGTTGGCGGCAAATACATGCCTATATCTATACAGTAGGTCTAATAGAGGTTTCTTTTTA